CCCCAATAAAGCTATTTGTTTCTGCTCTCCCTTGTTCTGTCAGTTATGTCTGTCAACCTCCCTGCTCCTCAGTTCCGCGTGACACTCTGGTGGTCCCTCAAAAGTGTGATTATCCCAGTTTCCTCGTCCTGCGGAAGGGTGTGTCACAGCCGGCAGAGGCCTGCCAACCCGATTCCGGTTTACAGACTTTGTTTGTCTGAGAGCTTAAATTCTGAGCATCTGGTTTGCGGAGAGCCTAGTGGTTAAGCCCTGGACTGCTAACTCAAAGTCAGCAGTTTGAAACCACCAGTGGGCCCCAGGGAGACAGATGAGACTTTCTACTCCAGTAAACAGTTACAGTCTTGGAAACTCACAGGGGGCTTGCCACCCAGTCCTATAGGGTAACTATAAGTCAGCATCACCCTTGGTTTATGTTTTGTTTATGTAGATTAAGCCCCCACTGAATTCTTTCTGACCATTAAGCTGGGGTTGTTTACAGCCTTGGCCTCAGGCAGAGTGCATTAGAAAGTGGTTTACGTCTACTCCATTAACCAGCCCAGCCACAAGTAGTCTCCCTCAGGGTGTACTGGGGTGTTCTTGATGGAGACTACCAAACGAGGGTGGCAGTCTCTTATGTCTAACATAATGTACGTGCCCCAATCCTGGTCTCATTCCCATTTCTATAGGCCCACCTGTAAATATGATGAATTGATCTGCCGCTAGTAAATTTGTGAGTGCCCTTTGCTCTCCCGTGCCCTTTCTAAGTTCGTGAATCTCAGCAACCCTTTGGATACCGTTATGACCTCTGCTAGTGGTCTCCCTCCTCCAGGGGATGCATTTTTGTATTTGTCTTTTCTTTGTCCTGTTTAAGACTTGTTCTCTTTAAAGTATATTGAGATTTGACCCCAAGTTCACTGCTGTACCCTAAAAGAGGTCCTAATATTGGACCCCTGTCTGAATCTCTGCTCTCTTCCTTATTTTTAGATACGAATATGGCAATAGTCTCAGGTGATCTCGCCTCAGCTCTTTCCTAATCTGATTATTGGTCTGTGCTAGGGGAAATAAGCCCAACCAAACCCTTTAGATTGGAGGAAGGCTTCTTAACAACCTGAGATATGCAGATGACACATCTTGCTTGCTGAAAATGAGATGGGCTTGAAGCGCTTGCTGACAAAGATCAAAGATTGCAGGCTTCAGTATGGATCACGGTTTAATGTAAAGGAGATCCAAATCCTCACATCTGGATCAATAGGTAACATGATCAATGGAGAAAAGATTGGCATTGACAAGGATTCTGTCTTTCTTGGATCCACAATCAGTGCTCATGGAAGCAGCAGTCAAGAGGTCAAACAACAACAACAACAAAAGAGGCCAAGCAACATATTGCATTAGGTAAACTGTGCTTCACAAGACTTCTTTTAGAGTATTAAAAAGCAAGGATGTTACTTTGAGGAATAAGGTAGGCCTGACCCAGGCCCACCCAATACCCATGGTATTTTTAATCCCCTGATAATGCATGTAAAAATTGGATATTGAATAAGGAAGACTGGAGAGTCGATGTAGTTGAATTGTAGTGCTGGCAAAGAATATTAAAAGTGCCGTGGACTGCTAATATGACAGACTGATCTGTCTTGGAAGAAGTACGGCCAGAGTGCTCCTCAGCGGCAAGGATGGTGAGACTCCATCGTCTGTACTTCAGACGTGCTGTCAGCGGACAGCAGTCTCTGGGGAAGGCCATCGTGCTTGGTAAAGGAGAGGGCAGAGAAAGAGGGCAAGCCCTCAAGAGGTTGAATCGACACCGCGGGCTCAAGCGTAGGCACAATTGTGAGATGACTGGGCTGGGCGGCGTTTCCTTCTGCTGTGCATAGGGGCACATTGGGTGGGAACTGACTCTGGCACCCAACAACAACAACAACAAACCCATGGCCACCCTGTACATCAGAGTAGGACTGTTCCTTTGGTGCTCCAGCTAGACAGCCTCCTCTTTCAGAGCACCTGTTAAATTCAGACCTTTGACGCTGTGGTTACTAGCTCAATGTGCAACCCACTATGCCACCAGGACTCCACGAGGGGAGAAACGAAACAAAGTTACTGCCATCTAGTTGATGCCAACTCATAGTAAGCCCACAGGACAGGGTAGAATCGCCCCTGTGAGTTTCCAGGACTGTAACCCTACAGGAGTAGAAAGCCTCGACTTCCATGATTTCAAACTGCTGACCATGCAATTAGCAGCCTAACACATGACTCCTGTGCCACAAGGGCTCCCCTGGGGTAGAAATGGGACCCCAAGTTCAAATATCGTTGATAGTGACACATTTAGTAAGTCCTAAATGGGACAAAAGCAAGTCATCCTGCTGAGAGAGACTATCAGCGTGAGGCCATACTGGTGTCCAAGGCCCTGGGGCACAGCCCACTTCAAAGGCACGAGAACAAAGCAGCTACACAAAACCATGCTTGCTGGCACATCAACGCATCACAGTTGCAGGCTGGGCTAGAGAGTCAGAAAAGTGGCCATGACTGAGCTATGCACACTCCTGAAGATGAGAGAAACGAGCAAACGCGGACAGGGTAGGTTTCGGGCCCTCTGACCGACCGAGGCGTTCCATCCAGGCAAATCTGTGTGCTGGCTAGGGGACTGGCAGTAATCAACTTTCTTTCCTCTTTTTTAACAGTTTTATTGGCATGTAATTCACTTATCACACAAGTTATTAGCTCAGGCTATCACCTTTCAAACACATTGCCTGAGGGCAAAACTTTCAATGAGCAGGAACTCAGCCGAGTTGAATCTGTGTGGAGACTCCACAAGGAATCCAATGCTCGCTGTCAAGCCTCCCGCAAACTAGTGCTCAGAATCTAAGCTGAAATACTGGGCAAATCAGGATGTCTTTGTACCAACCCGAAGACCACAGGTTGGAAAAGTGCAGCTGAAAACTTGGAGGGAGAGGAATGAGGAGTCTCTCCCAACAGGAAACTAACCAATTTGAAGGCATACAAGGTATTGCGGTCATGTCCTGGGTCCATTTGAAAACCTTAGTTTCTCAGTGCTGTTGTAATAAAATACCTTAAGTAGGTGGCTTTAAACAACAAAAGTGTATTTTCTCACAGATGAGGGGGCGAGATAAAAGTCCAGGGCACCAGCTCTAGGGGAAGGCACTTGCTCCCCCTCAGCTCTGGGAGGGGAAGACCCTGGTCTTTTTCAACAGTGGTCACCCCAGTATTCCAGGGTTCCTTGTCATGGGGCACCTACCTTCTCAATTTGGCCTTTGTAATTTCTGTGCCTACGTTTCTGTTTACCTCACTCAGAAGTGGTTAGGTTTAGGTCACACCCTGTGCTGGTATCATCCCATTAACATAACAAAGAAAAGCCTATTCCCAAATACATAATTGTAGGTGTTGTATGAATATTAATCTAGACAATAGAGCACACACGGGGCACAGTCATGGAAACTTCTGAGACATAACCAAACAACTTCATGGGGCCTTCGTCCCAGGGGACATTACGTCAATGGCACGGCCTTGTTCATGAAGCCAGTGTTCTGCCTCCTCCTCTGGGGAGTAGCAAAGGATGGAAGAAAACCATAGACTCAGGAAGCAATTAGTCTCATGAACCACCCGGACACAGCCCACGTGCCAACTGCTCTGCCTGCAGAGCAAAACATCAAGTTCACAAGGCAGTCAGTCTTCTCCGTCTGATGGAGACTGGAGGAACCCTCAAGACAATGGCCCTCAGAAACCTGCTGACCTGGAGCTGCAGCCATTCCTGGGAACTATCTTCCCACCAGACAATAGACTGAAAGGGAAAAAACAAACCAAGAAACCCCAGCAGTCTGAGTCTATGCAGACTCGGAGCAACAGAGCCTTAAAATAAACAGGAGCAGCGTCTGGGGTCTTAAAGGCCATCGAGCTCAGAAGCAACAAAGCCCACCAGCCTGTGCGATCACGAGGTGTCCAAGGGATCAGGGATCAGGCATCAAAGAACAAAGTGGGAACCCAAAGCCCATCTGTAGGCAACTGGAACATCCCCTTACAGAAAGGTCGCGGGGAGGAGAGGAGCCAGTCAGCAGGGTGCAGGGTAGCAACGATGAAACATACAACTTTCCTCTAGTTCCTAAATGCTTCCTCCTCCCACTATCATGATCCCAATTCTACCTTGCAAGTCTGGCTAGACCAGAAGATGTACACTGATACAGATAGGAACTGGAAACACAGGGAATCCAGGATAGATGATCCCTTCAGGACCAGTGGTGAGAGTGGCGATACCGGGAGGATAGGAGGAGGGTGGGGTAGAAAGAGGGAACCGATTATAAGGATCTACATATAACCTCCTCCTTGGGGGATGGACAACAGAAAAGTGGGTGAAGGGAGATGTTGGGCAGTGTAAGACATGACAAAATAATAATAAATTATCAAGGGTTC